CTTATTTTTCTAGACATTTTTACTTTTAATAATTAAAATTCACTAACTTATTAAGTTTAACAATTCACTTATTTATTTTCTTATTTCCCTCTTGAAGACTGAGAGTGTCCTATTCTTTCATAACCCCTAGAAGACACATAATAAATATTTTATGATTAGATGAATGTGTTGACTTATGATGATGTCATATGTGAATCCTGAACATTCTGGAAGGATGTTGTCTATTTCTGTTTTTAAATTGATATTACATCGATCTTGAGAATAATTCCTACAAAAGTATGACTTGTTATATCTCCTTTCAAAGTGTTAGTTTTAAGATTACCTAGATGTACTTATGTATTTTTTCATCAACTAAAAACATTAAATAGATTTACTGAATACCCAACTGCTGTACAAAGCATTTCATTTCATTCTGCTAATATATTATAAAATAGAAGTCTATGCCTGATAATTTTTTTAGAATGTGTTTTAAATGAAACCAAATTTACCCTTTTTTGAACTTTGCTCAATAAAAGACAGTTCTATTTATCAAAGATAGTTTTATAAGGGAGACCAATTAAACCTGACAGCTTATTCACAATGGTTTCTTATGTGATAGCAGCTCAGACATATTACATTGAGGAGACAGTATAATACTGAATATCATAACAAGAATAATTTTATTTTGAAATGTTTTCTGCTTATCTATACTGTCTTGCTCATTATTATATTTTATATAGACATATCTTAAATTAGAAAAAGATGGAGAATACTGCTTTATTTAATTTTGGGAAACATTTTAATATCTTGTTTCTATTATAAATTACAAGAAAATGTTTGGGTATGAGTTCTAGGTTTTACCCTCAGTCTTTAGGAGTTTTGTTAGGATTGCAAAAAGGGAAACCTTGGCCTCAGATATTGATAGCACTATAGAATTCCAAGCATTCTAGGTTATAATTATTAATTTAATCTCTTTTGTAATCCATAAGGTAAGTACTATTATCTTTTGTTTTCAGATGAGGAATGTGAGGTTAATATAGGTTGACTACTTTGCCCAAGACTACATTGAAAATAGGTGATGTAGCAAGATTGGAACTGAATCAATCTGATTCTAGCACTTGTGATCTTAACAATATATGATTTTGTCCTCATTTCAATCATACTGCTTAGTAGACCTGCCTAAAAATTATTTTGTTATCAGGAACATAGAAAGTACCTACAGTTCTAGTAGCACTGTCCTGCCATTGTTCATTGATTTGCTCAAGTAGATACCAGTAACATTTCCATTGTGAGACTTGTTGTTACTGTTTTTGGCATATTGAATATACCACATGGAGTTGCCAGACTCTGCCGTGTGGGTGGGATACTCTCGGTAGCTTGCCGGATTCTCTGAGAGGGATGGAGGAATCGAACCCGGGTCAGCTGCATGCAAGGCAAAAACCCTACCTGCTGTGCTATCGCTTGGAAATTCATGGTGCTCTTTTTAAGTGGTTATGCTGCAATATACTGGGAATGCATGACTATTTTATGAAATTCTCTCTGGAATACACACTCCTGATAGGAAGGAACATTATAATTTTAACCACGGCACCTATTATAGGACTTATTACAATGAAGAAGCTCAATAAACATATTTTTGATGTAATAAATGGTATTTACACAGATTGTATGGTTTTAAATAAGTCTTGGAATCAGTTAGGTGGGTTTAAGATAATAAAAGCGAATGGATAATAAAAGATCAAAGAGATAGCACAGTTAGTAAGGCCTTGTCTTGCTTGTAACTGATCTGAGTTTTATCCCTGGCACCCCATATGTCCCCTCCGCTCCTCCAGAAATGATCTCTGAGCTCTAAGTTCGGAGCTAGGAGCAAGCCTTGAGAACCGCTGAATGTGGTCCCTGACCCCACCACAAGTTAATAAAAGCATATATCACACTTAAAAAAAATTTATTGTGAACCAGGTAATCTTCTACAGCTTAAAAACTAGATCATTTAAAAATAAAATAACCTTCAAACTTGCTATATTAGGAGCAGATATACCTGTACTATATAGTTATCAAAGCCTGAAGTTATTTTCTATATATATCCCACTGACCTTCCTTAATCATAGTCAGCTATATGCCTTTAAAGGGGATAGGGACACTGGTGACAGCATTGCTGTTGCAACATTGTATGCAATCCTGAAACTCAATCATGAATTACTTTGTAACTCTAATTCACAGTGATTCAATTAAAAAATGTATAAAAAGGACTTGAAAAGGTATATATTCTGTGTTCTCTGAAGAGGTAAACAGATAACCACATACTATCACATATTATCACATTATCACATATATTATCACAGCACAACCACAGTCAGTTCCTTTTTTTATGTAGGAGTACTGCTATTTATTCAGCCACTTATTAGCTGATTGAATTGGGCATGAACTCCACCTTACTTTTTTTCATAATTTTATTTATTTATTTTTATTCTTATATTTATTTATTGAATCACTGTGGGAAAAATTACTAAGGTTTCAGGTTTAAGTCTTGATCATGCAATGATCAAACCAACTATCCCTTCACCAGTACTCATTTTTCACCACCAAGAACCCCAATATACACCCCCTCCCACCCCTCCCAGTGCCTGTGATTTCTACTTAACTTTTCTCTACATTGATTACATTAATTATTTTGACAAAAGATGCACCACTATTGTTTTAGAATCCTCCCACCCCCAATCAGAATTGCTGAAAAGGCATTGTGAAATACTTTGTTTTCTATAGCTGGTTATAAGAATCATATAATGATTTTAGATTTCTGCAAAGAGCTAGATAATTACGAGATTGGTTTCTGTGCGTCTGGTGTTATGGTTGTGCTGGAGAGCCACTCGTGGGGGGCAACTTGTGACCTCAGTAGGGTGTGAAGGATGAGCCGGTGCCACCCCCTTTCCCATGAGACTGCAGTTGCCCCATCACTGCCGGCTCATACCTGGCTTTCCTATAAGCTCTGAGGTGGTGGCCACCTTGCTGCCGTCGGGGTGTGTGGGGGGGTGGAGGCAAAGGGAGCAACACACTTTTCCTCCTGGGGAGGCATGGCGCCATAGTTTCACACATGATCCATTCACTTTTCTACCGCAAGCTGCTGGGCTCTGAATTAAGTCCTTTTGCCTCTGGAGACATGGCCATGCCGGAGAGCCGCTCATGGGGGCCAACTTGTGGGATGAGCCAGTACCGCCCCCCTTCCCATGAGACTGCAGTTGCCCCGTCACAGCCGGCTCATACCTGACTTTCCAATAAGCTCTGAGGCGGCAGCCACCTTGTATGTGGTCCAGATGCATTTCTGCCAAAAGCTGCTGGGTTTTGAGATTTGTTTCTGAATCTCTGGGGGCATGGCCGTTAAGCAGCTTGATCAGGAGCCAGAGAGGCCGTTTGTAGGCGGTGACTCGGGGGTCTTGTTGGGATGGAGAGAAAAGGGCCAGTTCCACCTTCATCTGGTGAGGCCCCACATGTCTCATCACTGCAGGCCCAAATCTGACTGTCCAGTGGCCTCTGGAGGATGGCGGTCACTGGGCCACCAGGGGGAACAGGACAAGGCATGAAACCTCTTCCCACCTGGAGTGGCCCAGCCCCAGTAACCTACTGCAGGAACAGGACACATTTCTGCCAAAAGCCTTTGGGTTCTGAGATTCGTTTCTGAGTCTTTGGGATCATGGCCATTAAGAAGTTTTATCAGGAACCAGAGAGGCCATGCCTCCAATGATATAGCTGAGCTGGAGGTGGTTTGTGGGTGTGTCTCCCACATACCTAACTTTTGGCTGTTTATTTTCTTGGTAAACTTTTGCCTCAAGCTTTTGGGGTCTGGCCAAAGGCACAGCAGCAATTTTGGGGTATCTGAAAGTATTACGGTGCCATCAGGCTGCTCATGCACTCGCGTCACAGGTACAGATTGACCTGCTGGCGGCACCATATCCCCCACAGAGTCAGTTCCTACCTCGACACTGTCTATTGGATTTCCTCTTGCTAACATTCCCTCTCCCTCTCCAGTTATCTCACTTAGGTTGTCAGATTTCAGGGGATTGAAAAGAATTGGTTTTAAAATTAGATTCCTACCAGAGAAATTTGAGTCTTATCACCTTCGTTTTCTGTTGTCATCTGCTTAGTTTCTTTCAAAGCACAGTCCCTGGCCAAACTGCTTGATGTCTTTTGGAAAACTGGTAGAAATACAAATCCTTTGCTACCATCAGTAGTTTGAGAAGGTTTTATATTCTTGCCCACTGCTATTCAGTCTACTACTGGAGGCATGAGCAAGAGCAACTAGACCAAAATGGATATAAAAGAAATCCAAACTGAAAAGCAAACCTATTGTTATTTGCCGATGACTTGATATTATACAGAAAAATTCCAGATTCCATGAGAAATATCAAAATAATAATAAGCTTTCCAAACAAATACACTAAAATGATAGGCTAACAAATTATTATGCAAAAATCTTTTGTGTGAAAAATATGGACTAGCAGAAAGGGAAATCAGGAGGAAAAATCCTATTTACAATGATATCACCAAGATTTGCAAGCTTTGGAATAAACTGAGCCAAAGGAATTAGAAACTTGTGAATGGAAGACACAAAGGATTGAAAGATATTTTCTGCTTGTGGTCTAGAAGAACTAACATAGTCACAATGACCATATTAACAAAAAAAACCTAAAATAAAATAGAGAGATTCAGTAGAATTCCTATTAAAATCCCAATGGTATTCTTCATAAAAACAGAAAAAGAAATAGGAATAAAACCTCATGAAATTAATTCGGAAGTATGAAAGATCTCAAACAGCAAAAATACTCCTGTGAAATATGGAATAAGAGGACTGGAGAGATAGCACAGCTGGTAAGGTGCCTGTCTTCACAAGGGGCTGATAATCTCTGGCACCGTCCAGGGTCCCCCAGGTCCCTCAAGACAGACAACTATGATCCTTGAGCACAGAGCCAGGAGTAAGGACTGAGCACCACCAGGTTTGATGACAAAACAAACAAAAAATTTCCCTAGTTGGTTGAAAATCACCCGCAGACTTGCCCGTGACCATAGGTGAGATTAAGCACCAAAGTCAATGCCCTCTCATTTACCGCCCACGCTTTGGTGTGGGGAAGTGAAACCCAGGCCCGACATGCAGCACCAGCAGTGGTCCATCCAGCCATCTTTTCTGTCCGCAGGACTCGTGGTGTGCTCCAACCTGAACCTGAGGCCATGCAGTTGGCAGCTGGAGCATGGAAGGAAGAGACAAGGGGAAGTAGAAGATGGCTTCTCCCGGTTTCAATAAAGTTGATGCAGAAAGAGAGGGAGAAAGAAAAGGAAGGAAGGAAGGAGAGAAGTCAGGAAGGGAGGAAGAAAGGGAGGAAGGAAGGAAGGGAGGAAGAAAGGAAGGGAGGGAGGAAGAAAGAAAAAAGACGAAGAGAGAAAGAAAGAAAAGAAGTAAAGAAAGACAGGAAAGAGAAGGAATGAAGAGAAGAAAAGGTAAAAGGTAAAGGCCCTCCCGTTGATCGTCGATTTGCTCGAGCGGGCCCAGTAACGTCTCCATTGGAGATTTTGTTGTTACTGTGTCTGACATATCAAATACTCTCGGTAGCTTGCCGGGCTCTCCGAGAGGGGCGGAGGAATCGAACTCGGGTCGGCCATGTTGGCTGTGTGTAAGGCGAACGCCCTACCCGCTGTGCTATCGCTCCAGCCCAGAAAAGAAAATAGGACAAAAATGGACACCTGCAGCCACACATTCTAGGGGAAAAGGGAGCTAGGTAGAGAAAGGAGCACCAAATAAAGGGTGTTGGGAGGATCCTCCCAGGATGGGAGAAGCATGCTGAAAGTAGACTATAGACCAAACATGATTGCCACTCAAATCCTCTCTGCAAACCACAACACCCAAATGGAGAGAGAGAACAAAAGGGAATACCCTGCCACAGAGGAAGGGTGTGATGGAGGGATGGGGGGTGGGAGGGATACTGGAACCCGTGGTGGTAGAAAATGGGCACTGGTGGAGGGATGGGTGTTTGATCATTGTATAATTGAAACCCAAGCACAAACATTTGTAAATCTACAACTGTACCTCATGGTGTTTCACTAACAAAAATTAAAAAAAAAAATGTAAATGATGGAGAATGGGCCTGGTGGAGGGATGGGTACTGGATCATTGTATAACTGAAACCCAAGCACAAAATTTTTTTAAGTCTACAACTGTATCTCATGGTGTTTCACTAATAAAAATTTTAAAAAAAGGGGGGGAAAATAAAAAATGGATGCCTGGGGCCAGAGAGTTATAAACAATAGTAAGTAAATCATTTTCCTGGCATATAGTTTACCAGTTTCAATTCCTGGCATCCTGTATGGTCCCACCACCCCGCCAGGATTGATCCCTAAGTTCAGAGCCAGAAGTAAGCCCTGAGCACTCCTGGGTGTGACCTCTTCCTCCTCGCCCTAATAAAAATAAAGCATGAGCTCCTCAACTTCAAACAGCACTGCAAAGTGATAGACATTGTAAAACACGCTTTATTGAAACCATAAAAGATACACAAATCAATGGAGCAAAATTGAGAGCCCAAATGTAAACTACAGCACATAGGAGTCAACAATTTTAAAGAGAGTAAGGAAAGTCTCTTCAACAAATGGTGGTGGGAAAATTAAACAGCCAAATGCAAAAGAATGACACTAAAAACAACGAAAATAACACATAAATATTAATTCAAAATGGATTGAAGTTTTGGATGTAAGCTCTGAAACAATCAAACACACTGAAGGAAACAAGCAATTTGCTCCTTAATGTCAGCCTTAGAGATGTCTTTGGGGATTTAATTCCAGTGGCAAGAGAAACAAAATAAAAAAAAGTTAGAGGCACTACATTAAAGTAAAAAACTTCTGTATAGCAAAATAAACATACAAGAAATAAAAATTCCTCATACTGAATGAAGAAGATATTTGTGTCCAATCCCTCTATTAAGGTCACAAATTTCGAATGTAAACCAGGAACTCACAAAGTCAACAATTAAATGAAAACAAATAGTTGTTTAAAAAATGGTAGACAAAGGGGGTATGGTGCCGTCAGCAGGTCAATCTGTACCTGTGAGGTGAGTGCATCAGCAGTCTGATGGCAATCAGACTTTCAGATACCCCAAAATTGCTGCTGTGCCTTTGGACAGACCCCAAAAACTTGGGGCAAAGTTTACCAAGAAAGTAAACAGCCAAAAGTTAGGTATGTGGGAGATACACCCACAAACCACCTCCAGCTCAGCTATATCATTGGAGGCATGGCCTCTCTGGTTCCTGATCGAACTGCTTAATGGCCATGATCCCAAAGACTCAGAAAGGAATCTCAGAACCCAAAGGCTTTTGGCAGAAATGCGTCCGGTTCCTGCAGTAGGTTACTGAGGCTGGGGCCACCCCAGGTGAAAATAGGTTTTGTGCCTTGGCCTGTTCCCCCTGGCGGCCTGGTGACCACCATCCTCCAGAGGCCGCTGGACAGTCAGATTTGGGTCTGCAGGGACGAGACACATGGGGCCTCACCACATGGGGGTGGAGCCAACTCTTTCTTCCCATCCCAACGAGACCCTGAGTCGCTGCCTACAAATGGCCTCTCTGGCTCCTGATCAAGCTGATTCATAGTCATGATAGCGGAAACTCAGAAACAAATCTTGAAACCCAGCGGCTTTTGGCAGAAATGCATCTGGCCTGCATACAAGGTGACCGCCGGCTCAGAGCATATTGGAAAGCCAGGTATGAGCCGGCTGTGATGGGGCAACTGCAGTCTCATGGGAAGGACGGTGGTACTGGCTCGTCCTTCGCGCCCTACTGAGGTCATGAGTTGCCCCCCACAAGCGGCTCTCTGGCATGGTCATGGCTCCAGAGGCAAAAAGACTTAACCCACAACCCGGCAGCTTGTGGCAGAAAAGCGAATGGACCATGTGTTAAACTACGGTGCCATGCGTCCCCAGGAGGGAAAGGGTGTTGCTCCCTTCCGCCTTTCCCCCCCCTATCATCAAGGTGGCCACCGCCTCAGAGCTTATAGGAAAGCCAGGTATAAGCCGGCAGTGATGGGGGAACTGCAGTCTCATGGGAAGGGGTGCGGTACTGGCATATCCTTCACGCCCTACCAAGGTCCTGAGTTACCCCCCACGAGCGGCTCTCCGGCATGGCCATAATACTAGACACCCAGAAACCAATCTCGTAATTATCTGACTCTTTGCAGAAATCCAAAATCGTGGCCGTGTGACATTACATGATTCTCATAACCAACTATAGAAAACAAAATATTTCACAATGCCTTTTCAGCAATTCTGATTATTTGGGAGGAAATTCTAAACAATTATGGTGCATCTTTAGTTGAAATAATGAATTTAATCAATGTAGAGAAGAGTTAAGTAGAAATCATCTGCCTCACAGGCATTGGGAGGGGTGGGAGTAGGGGTATACTGGGATTATTGGTGGTGAAAAATGAGTACTGGTGAAGGGAAGTCTGGCATATCGAATACTCTCGGTAGCTTGCCGGGCTCTCCGAGAGGGGCGGAGGAATCGAACTCGGGTCGGCCATGTTGGCCGCGTGTAAGGCAAATGCCAGGTGTTTGATCATTGTATGACTGAGACTTAAACTTGAAAGCTTAGTAACTTTTCCCACAGTGATTCAATAAATAAATATAAAAAGAAAAAAATTTAAAAAAATTAAATTCAATCAGCAAATCAGTGGCTGACTAAATAGCAGTACTCCTACAAAAAAATGGTAGACAAGGAGTACTGCATTGATGGCTCATGTATTATACTAGGAACTATCACGACCAAATGCAAGACTGAATAACCCTGGAAAAGACTCTGGCTACTAAACCGACCTCCCTCTTTATATGATGAGGAGAAGATCTCAAGTTCAAAGACACACAGATGACCAATACACTCATGAAAAGATATTAATTGTATTTAAAGATAAATTTGATTATTCATTGCCCCCTCCTTTTTTTTTTGCTCTTTGGGTCACAACCAGCAATGCTCAGGGGTTACTCCTGGCTCTGCACTGAGGAATTACTCCTGGTGGTGCTTGGGGGACCATATAGGATGTCTGGGATTGGTCACGTTCAAGGCAAAAGCCCTACCCGCTGTGCTATCACTCAAGCCCCTATTCATTAGCTCTTATATTGGCTTTGTTGACAGTAGTTTTTAGAGAAGGGTTGTGGGTGATATCAAATTATCATCTGATAATTTTTGTGTATGTGAAAGAAAAAACTTTTTACTGAAACTTATTTAGAAAGATCTAAGTAGAGATAAAAGAAGTACATATTTGACAGAGAGCAAGCTTCTCTAGAATGGAAGCATGCAAGCAAAGAAACATAGAGACAAGCTAGCAAGATACGTTCAGGGGAGAACACGAGTTTGAAGAGCAAAACAACACGTGGTAATTCTTTCAAAAAATTTAATTACATTTTCTTAGATTTTAGTAATAAATTTGCAATAGTATTAATAATTTTAGTCCTGTCGTAAAATCTTATTGCATCACAGTCAAAGTGCCCATGCTCCTCTACCACTGAAAAGAATTCTTTTTTTAAAAAATTAATTAATTAATTAATTTTCTTTTTATATTTATTTATTGAATCACTGTGGGAAAAGTTACTAAGCTTTTAGGTTTAAGTCTCGGTCATACAATGATCAAACACCTTTCCCTTTACCAGTACTCATTTTTCACCACCAAGAACACCAGTATACCCCCCTCCCACCCCTCCCAATGCCTGTGAGGCAGATGATTTCTACTTAACTCTTCTCTACATTGATTAAATTCATTATTTCAACTAAAGATGCACCATGATTGTTTAGAATTTCCTCCCAAACAATCAGAATTGCTGAAAAGGCATTGTGAAATTTTTGTTTTCTATAGCTGGTTATGAGAATCATATAATGTCACATGGCCACGATTTTGGATTTCTGCAAAGAGCCAGATAATTACGAGATTGGTTTTTGTGTGTCTGGTGTTATGGCCATGCCAGAGAGCAGCTTGTGGGGGGTAACTCATGACCTCGGTAGGGCTTGAAGGACGTGCCGTTACTGCCTCCCCTTCCCATGAGACTGCAGTTGCCCCGTCACTGCCGGCTTATACCTGGCTTTCCTATAAACTCTGAGGCGGCGGCCACCTTGCTGCCAGGGGGAA